CATTGAGTTAGAATCGGTGATGGTGGAAGAGCAAAACAAAAGTCGGCGCAAAGATCACGAGAGGTACCTTCCTTTCATACCGAGGATCCAACGGCTTTTCATGAGCGAGAAATCCGCAAAAGCAGATGACGTGGCACAAAAGCGGATGCCGATACACATCGACAAGATGATACATCCGTCCGATGGTGAATCATGGAAAAGCTTCGATCGGAAGCATACCGACAAAGGCCGATGAGGCTCGTAATGTACGCATTGCACTGGCAACTGATGGGTTCAATCCTTATGGAATGGGTTCTTCACCATACACATGTTGGCCCGTTTTCGTCATCCCTCTCAACCTCCCACCTGGCGTCGCCTTTCAACGGCAAAATATTTTGTTGTCACTTATAATTCCAGGACACCCGGGGGCTAATATGAGTGTGTACATGGAGCCTTTGATAGACGATTTGGTCCGTGCATGGGACGAAGGGGTAGTGACATACGACCGATTCACAAAGACAAACTTGAGAATGCATATTTGGTACCATTATTCCATGCATGACTTCACGGCTTATGGGTTATTTTGTGGTGGTGTGTTCACACGAAGATGCCATGCCCGATATGCAAGTCAGCTGTGGAGTTCTTTCGGTTGGAGAAGGGGGGCAAGTTTTCTTCATTTGACAAACATCGACAATTCCTCCCTCTTGACCACCCATTCAGGAGAGACAAGAAGAACTTTCGAAAAGGTGTCACAAAGGAAGACTCGCTTGCGGAAATGATGACAGTGCCTGTGTTCTTGAGATGTTAGATGGTCTTGTGGTGCGACAATGAAAAGGGGGCTTCGTGGGATATGGAAAAGAGCATGCACGGACACACAAGTCGTGCTTGTGGAAGCTTCCTTACTTTAAGGACCTCCTTCTTCCACATAACATTGATGTAATGCACATGAAAAAGAATTTCGCCGAGGCGGTCCTTCACACAATCATGGATGGGAAAAGTCAAAGGACAATGTCAAGGCTAGATTGGATCAAGCAACGCGTCACGATAGACCAAAGCTAAACATGTTGCCTCCCTTACGCGGGAAGTCATGGAAGAAGCCTAAGGCCGACTTCGTCCTAACGAGGGCCCAAAAGAAAGAAGTTCTTCAATGGTTTCAATCGTTGATGTTCCACAGCAGTGTATCTGTGAATTGGAGGAGGGTGTGAACTTAAGTACCATGCGAATCACAGTGTGAAGAGTCATGATTACCACATATGGATTGAGCGCCTTCTTCCGGTGATGGTTCGTGGCTATTTCCCACGATCACATCTGGCGAGTGATGGCGAGTTGAGCATGTTCTTCCGCAAGCTATGTGCTAAGGAGATATCTCGGACCGAGATTGAAGAAATGGAAAGAATGGCCCCGGTGTTGCTCTTCTGCAAGTTGGAAGATCTTTCCCCGGCTTCTTTAATCCGATGCAACATTTGCTCTTGCACCTACCATATGAGGCAAAAATGGGGGCCTGTGCATGCCCGTTGGTGCTATCCAATTGAAAGCGATGCCTAAAGGTTCTTAGAACAAAATGCAAAAATAAATGCAAAATTGAAGCTTCACAATGCGAGGCATCCATTGTGGAGGAGGTGTCATACTTCACAACAAGATACTATGCCGACAACCTTCCTAACGTGCATAATCCACCCCTCGTTACAATGTTGCCGACAATCGATTCGACCCTCGGCCTTTTCCGAGGGCAACTCGGAAGTGCAAGTGAACCTACCTTGAAGATGTTGAGCCTAGAAGAGTGGCGCTCTATCCAAATTTGTATGTGTTGCGGAACCTTGAAGAGGTTGGCCCGTTACATTGCGTAAGTTTTACACAAACTTGTTTCTTTTCTTGTCGATATTTCGCATGCACCCATCCAACCCTCTTGTTAACGGCCGTTCTGACAAAATTTGTTCTCCTCTACCATCGTCCATCACGGAGGGAACCCACCGGCGGAAGTTGAAACCCTTCTAAGACATGGCGCGGGAGAACGAAATCCCACTTTTATTTGTTGGTTCAAGGAGGAGGTAGTGTTCAATTTCATTTGTTGTTTGTACTTAACTCTCAACTTGACAAATATATAACGAATCATCCTACTTGAACTAGCAGGCCAAAAGCCGACGTGTCTATGAGTGCCGAGTTGAGGCAAGTTGCCAATGGATTTGAATTTAGGGTCAAGTCATTCTCTCCGTGCGATGTCAATGGATATCGCTTTCACACAACTTCGGCATGAGCGGCGTCGGCCGAATCGAAGAACCACAAATACCGGTGTTTTCACGCCAGCACAGAGATGGGTTGGACTACTATGGAATAATTGAAGAAATATACAAACTCAAGTTTCACAGGTTGTGTACCTCTTCATCTGTCATATTCAAATGCCATTGGTTTGATCCCAAAGAAGTGATAAAGACCCCGAGCTTGGGTTAGTCGAAGTTCTAAAGTCATCCGTCTTGTTAGGAGACGGCGTGTACATTGTGGCCCAACAGGCCACGCAAGTTTATTATCTCTCATACCCGTGCCAAACCAAAGACCGTCTTAAAGGCGTATGATGTTGTGTACAAGGTATCGCCGCATGGTAAAGTACCGTCCCCAAACGATGATGATTATAACATCGATGCAAACACATATGACGGAGAGTTCTTTCAAGAAGAAGGATTAGAAGGGAGTTTTGAGATTGTCTTAGATGTAGATCTCATAATGGAAGTAGACAATGATACGATCATTGTTGACGGGGATGATGGAGAGGAGGTTCTGTATGAAAGGACTTGTTATTACTTGAGCAACACCATTCGAGGCGATGTCGCTAGTGATGAGACTTTGAGAGACGATCATAATTACGTCGACAATAGCGATGATGAGATTTTTGGCCCACCTATCGATGATCTTGATGATTATTTCTAGTACATGTAAGATCTGTAGTACTTATGGCAATTTTATACATGTATGATACATTTACTTATTTTGCATCTCTTTTATACATGTATGATATATTTACTTATTTTGCATCTCTTTTATACATGTATGATACATTTACTTATTTTGCATCTCTTTTATACATGTATGATACATTTACTTTTGTATATCGCGTCTTGATAGTTTATTCCTTTTGTTGCAGTGATTGATGGTGGGCGGTGGAATCGAGGAAGCTTAGGTCGGTTATGACCTTCTTGGCTGGTGGCGAGGGGTCCAGCCGTGGTGGAGGAGGAGGGCGTGCAGGCCGAGGTGGAGGCGTGCCCGGGGAGGAGGAGGAGGAGGACGGCGACGAGGCGTGCCTGAGGAGGTGGAGCCCAGGATGGAGGAGGAGCCCGAGGTGGAGGAGGAGGACGGCGGCAGCGAGGCGTCGAGAGCGACACCTCCTCCACGGGACAGCACGACCACGAGTTCAGAGGCAGCCACGGAGGAGGATGAGGAGGAGGAGGAGACCAGGGAGGAGATAGCGGAGGCGGTGGAGGAGGCACGGAGGAGGATGCTTCCGAGCGGGTTGAGCCGAGGAGGATGCCGACTTGGTGGCGAGAGAAAATGGGGTGCCTACGGTTTGGATGCGAGGGTCGTCAGCGCCTCCCGGACTTACCCATACTGAGACGGCGGCCATGGATTCGACCATCCGAACTAAGTAAGTAATTTTGCATGTTAACACTAATTCACAGGTTTTTAAGTTATAACAGAAACTAATATTCAATCTCAATAACTTTGTGCGAGGATTGGGAAATGGTGATCCCAGGAGTCACTCTCCGAGTAAACGGGATCCCGGTCTTCATGTGGCAGGCAAACAACTACCCCGGGATGGTGAGGATCGATGGTGTTGTGCAGCCCGCCATGAAGTGGTCCCACTGGCACACCGCCAGCGATCAGACTGATCGAGCTGGCAGGTGTTATAACAGCAAGGCCGACCGGGTGATGAAAGAGCTGTGGGTACGTGTTCATCGCACTATGCTGATAATAACATCACATTAATTGTATATTCTTGTTGTATTTGCTTGTAGGATTACTACACCTTGGCGGAGGGAGTGCGTAGGGAGGACGCGGATGACGTGGTGAACAGAGTCTGTGTTCACCGAGTGCAGGACCTCTTCTACGAGACAAAGCTCCTGTGCAGAAGAATTTACCATGCCCGCAGAGGAAACAGAGTCACCAGAGCGCAGGCAGTGCACCTGCCCCTAACTAAGGAGCAATACTTGACGGTAAACATGAGATTACATCGTCTGTGATCAATTGCACTGAAATTGATTTATGATTTGTCATGTGCTCGTGTATGCGTGCAGTGCCTCCCCGCTTGGTGTGCGGGGATGGACAAGCTGCTGGGAGGCCATTGTGGACACGTGGTTGAGTGAGGAGTGCGAGCAATATCACGCCAGACGCTCACGCTGTTGCCGTCTGCGATGATGCAGGTTCCTCGCACAAACAAGGGCCCACTACCCTCAAGGAATATGCAGCCCGATATGTACGCGGATTTCATTTCGTTGTTGCTACGCTAACTTCGAATGCATAATATCTTATTGTTGTGCTTCTTCCTGCGGACGCGGTTCCACCCGGCCAGAGTGCGCCTCGTTCAAGGCATATGCCTTGGCACACAAGGGCAAGGCAAAGGACCCGACCTCGTCTACAACCCGAGAGACCCGCCCCGAGGCATACAAATAACTGGCGTGCACGATCGCCTCGGCGAGTACACAGCGATGGCGAGAGAGATCCATGGGCCAGAATTTGATCCGAGCACCGCTGACCTCGAGGGTGACATCGTCATGAGGTTGGGACCAGGTAAGCCACACGGGAGGTACTATATGGGCAACAGCACCATAGACACGGCCAACACTCGACACACTCGCCCAGTTAGAGCCCGAGCACGAGTTCGAGCCCGCCATACGCCCACGCTCACAGCCCCAGGTGGTAGCACTCCAAGTTAGTTCTGTTGCATTCGTTGTCCATTCATTTTCTACCCGTTCTTTATTTGCATTCTAACTATGTGATAAATAATTGTAGGCCCAGATTGAAGCCTGCGAGAGTCACAAGCCAGGCCTCACAGAGCCAGTTTCAGGCCCTCCAGCTATCGCACCAGGCCGAGTTGGCACAGGAGAGGGCGCGAGTGCAGGCCCAGCTTGAGGCCTTCCAGCAGTCGCAGAAGGCCTGGTACGAGTACATGGCCAGCTTTTCTCAGAGCATGGGCCAGCCTCCACCGCCTCCGCCGCCGCCGATGATACCGTTGGTGCCTCCACCTCCGCGCGACGGCACTCCTGTGAGTCACTCTTCATCTTGAAAGGCTTTTTCAGTTCAGATTGTGCTACAGTCAACACTATCATGTTAGAACCTAGAAGAGAGTAGGATACATACATGTATAAGTTAGATTATTAGTAATATTGTTCAGACCTTGAAAGGCATCATGTTAGGTTCTACATGAGTACATAGGTGTTTGCCCAATTCATGTTCAGTCTACTCGACCATGTGTGACGATATCTTGCACATAGAGGAGACCTAAACAGCAACTAACTTGATATGTGTTATCTATTATATGCCTATATATTGATGTCACTGTTAACTGGTCTTTCGAAGGAATATTTGAATTTGGCATACTACCTTATGATTAATTGACAAATATGTTTATTTTCTTTTGCTCCCTCATTCCGGGGGACCTTCTACAATTTGGATCGAACAACGATCAAGATTTGGACTTGTCTCCGTTTCTCGGTAGGGCTCCGACCATGTGACAGGACCATGTTTCACTTGTTTGTATGTTGAACTTAGAAGTGGGTTGAACTTTGTGGACTTTGGACATGTTGATGGTGTTTGTGGACTTTGCATTGTGCTTGTGACATTTGTTGTAGCTATATGTTGGTTATAATGAGTGGATGTGACATTTGTGGACATATATGTGATATATAATGTCTATCTGTTGGTAACTGTGATATTCTGTTATAATTGTTGTTAATTGTGGCTGGATATGCACTGAAACAAACAAAAAAAATACTGTGGACAAGTTTTACCGAGTGTTACACTCGGTAATGGTCATGTTTACCGAGTGCTACACTCGGTAAAACAGAGAACAGAACCAAATTGGTTCTGATTCTGTTAATTTTGCCGAGTGGTGCCATTTTTTACCGAGTGCCACGACCCCACTCGGATATATGTGCCATTTTTTACCGAGTGGAACACTCGGTTAACGAGTTACATGTTTACCGAGTGTTACTGGTACACTCGGTAAACTATATTAGGGAAAAATATTTGCGGAATTGTTTTAATCATGAAAATGGTTATATGTTTACCGAGTGCTAAGTCTAACACTTTCGATAACGCAGCGCCGTTAACGGCGTAGAGATTGAGGGACTGACGACCGTCACGTCGTAGTTGTTTACCGAGTGCGGCGTAGCACTTTCGGTAAGATTTATTCTCCGAGTGCCCGTTAGTTGACACTCGGTAAACTAACTTTACCGAGTCGTTGTTTACCGAGTCATGTTTACCGAGTGTGGCACTCGGTAAACAATTTACCGAGTGTTTATCCATATTTGCCGAGTGTTTATCACACTCGGTAATTAATCAGTATCCCGTAGTGTATTAGCATCTGTTGTCCATACTTGGACAAGGAGGAGGAGGCTAAGATTACTAGTCTGGGCTCTCGGTAACGTATCAACCGAGTGTTCAACTTGATGGGGATTGAGTATGATGATCGCCCTGTGCTGGCGAAGCAGAAGGATGAGGTTGCTGAGAAAACGAAAGGCAAGAAAACTATGCCGGTGAAGGAAAAGAAACCTGCTACCAAAGCGAATGTGCAAAGGCATGTTGTGCAGAAACACAAAGCTCCAGAGCCTGGTGACGTGCAAATGGGTCGCGAGATGGCGACGCCTTCGAAAAAGAGCCAGAAATTTACTCTCGGAGACTTAGACCGCGATAGTGGTGCTGCTGACGCAGGAGGGGTATGTGAGGGTTTGGGCATCATGTCCCTTCCGTCTTGAGAGCTTTTTGCTTTGGACTGAGTTTTTTACTGATTCTATTGGTGTTTTTACTTTTCTGACTTGTGTTTTATCTTTCATTCCCGTTTCGTTTCAGGGCACTTCGACATCCGGACGGATGGCACCGAAAAGGCCTTCTGTCGTGACGTCATCTATCTTTGATGATGATGACATTTCTCTGATGGAGATGCCATCTTTTCCTAAGGTTGTGCCAAAAGGGCCTGCCCCGTGCGATGACGGTTCGAAAAAACGCAAGCAAACGTCTTCTCACCCTGATAAGGCAAAATGGGTCAGCCAAGAAGGGCGTGAGAGGAAGGCTGAGTTGACGAAATGTTCTGACAGCCGGGGGCTCGAGACAGGTAAGAGCTGCTTTTATCATGAGGCCGTCCAGCTAACTCCTAGCTTGGCGAAAGGGTTGCTTTTAGGTCATGGCCCTTTGATTTTGGGTGTAAAGGAGGGGGACTATGGTGAGCCCCATTTCTATTCGGGGTTAAGTTTGTCGAGCGAGACGGCGAGGGAGGAGTCTTATCGAATTGCTCGTTCTTTATGTGCTGCGTCGGAGGCGAACTTGGCCTGCGGCTTTGATTTTCGTCAGATTGGAATGCTGCTAGGTGAGAACTCCGATGCTGCAAAATTTGCTTAACACTGCCAGAAGGCTCTGGTTGCTCAGTGCTGGCGGAAGCCACCTCTTTTCATCTTGCCAGCGTGAGTGACTTTCACCTTCTCCGTGCTTTTTGTCGATTTGGTTTTGCTTTGCTCTGATCGTGTCGTAATTTTCATTACCTGCTGTAGGCTATGGTGCTGAGCAGTAGCCTCTATCGCCAAGGCAGGGCCATTTGCCAGAAGCTTTTGAGAGCGAGAAGCTTGAGAAGGACCGATGCATTAAGGCGCTTGAGGAGAAAGTCTCTACCCTAGAGAAGAAGCTAGAGGAGGAGCGCACCGCGTGAAAGGAGGCCGACAAAGCCTCTGCGAAAGTCAAGAAAGAACTTGATAAGGAGCGATAAGCGCATGAGAAGGAGCTGGATGCTTTTACTTCTTGCTCCCGAGTCCCGAGACATGATGGAACGCTATCTCGAATGTCTGCGCGGTGCCGGCGCCGACACTGAATTCCCGGGGGAGTGCACCATGGATGAGTTTATGGTTTGGCTCCAGGGCAAAATGGACGCCTTGGATGGCCATATGATGCTAGGGCAGGACTTTGCCGCTATCACTGCTTTTAAGGCGATAGGGCATAGTCTGGTCGACGCCGGGTGCACTCATCTGTCCGGACTGACTATCAGAGAGTCTAACTATTACTGGCGAACCCTATCGGAAGCCAAGGCCCTGGGCAAAAGGTTCTTCGAGGAATTCTGGCACGCCAGAGGGAATGAAATGGTGATAATGCAAGGCGCTTGTAGCCGCGGCCAGGTATCGTAGCCGTCGCTTTTCGGTCTACTTTTTTCGTGGAATCTCCCCTTTTCGCAATTGACTGAATCGGTTTTGATGCCCTTCTCTTACTTTGATAGAGCATTGAAGAGAAAAAGGCCATAAAAGAAACGGTGCTAGCGTTCCTGGAGGAAAAACACCGCCGAGAAGCTGCGAAGGCTGCTGCTGAAGGTGACGGCGCCCGAAAGCTCTGCTGCTAGGGCTGCACGTGCCAGTGCCGAAGATAGGGTAGATGCTTAGGCCTTGTTTAGCTTTCGAAAGCTTTTGACATTCTATCTGGAGATAGGAATACTTTCGTCATTAAGGCCGGTCAGGTTGGATGCAAGGTTTGATACATTACTGGTTACATTATGCTTGTGCGCAGGGCGAGGAGCCTGCGCACCCCGCTGAAATTTGTCCCCTGATGATTAGGTGCGGGGATTTCTTCGTTGGTGGCGCTTCATGGAGGCGCCATCGGCGGAAATTTCCAACTTCGCGGTTATCGTCTTTTATATTGATGCGATATGACCGGATGCGCGAGAAAGAGCGAGTTTTGAAGGAGTTTTTCGCTACTGTCAACACATCGGTTCTTTCAAAACGTCGAAGGCTTCGGCGACGTCTTCGTCACGCTCGTGGGGAGCCGATTTTAGGCCCTGACGAGATTAAGGAAGAACCAGTGGAAGAGCTTTCGCTGGATGTGGAGAATCGACGCTATAATTTCTATTTTCGCCCCAATGCGTAAGTTAGTTTGAAGGCCGCTGGTGTATGTATTCGACTGTTATGTTTTGACCATGACGGGAATGCCACGAGCGCTTGTACATGTGTGAGACTTTGGGTCAATGTTTATTTGTTCTGATGAATCTAGTTTAAAAGACTTCGTTCTTTCTTTTTTCCTGTGGATATTTCTTTGTTTTTATTACAATGCACCATTCGATAAGTGTAGTGCGGGTAGCTGACGTATGGGTGTATTGGCAGACATGCTAGGCCTAGCTGCTATGCGCTGCTTCTTGGCTCGCCATAACTTGCGTCCTTGGTCGATCCCGTTGCGGGAGCGAAAAGCCCTGCGCTTTGAGATCTTGAGGAGCAGGCAACCGTTCGATGCCCTTCGATGCGCCATGATGAACGGTTGAGACCACATTACAGTGACTTCGCGCGTCTTGAACCATTGTAGGTGCCTGGACGGGGATGGCCGTAGTTGTGTGGTTTCAAACATCGCTCTTTGCTGAATGGGGGATGTTACATTTTCTCTTGTGGTATCCCCCATCCTGCTCTTTTCACTGTTTGCGACCCTTAGCTCGCTTGGTGACACATGGGCTTGGCATGTGGCGATGGTTATGTGTTCGACACTCTCGGACCGCCTATGCTCTTGTTCTTACATGGTCTCTCGCGGTATCACTGTCTTATGGAGGTTTGTCCTATGCTTATACAACAGTTTGCTCCATGGGCGAAAAGGCCCTGGGTGCCTATCACTCTTAATTCCTGATTCCTGCTATCCTTTCTTGCTTTTGACTCTTTATACATCTCTGCTTTCTATATACCCATGAGCTAGGCGCCCTCGACTCTAGGGTTTCCTTTTATAGGGTTTGTGCTGGCGTTGGGGCTTTTACTTTGGTTAGGTGAAGTAGGTGAAGTGGTTGGATGGAGCATGATTCTTTAATTGCGACGTCAATGTTACGCACACGGTGATACTCTACTTGGTGGTACCGCCCCCTTTTTGTTGAGATGGCGTTTCTTGCCTCTTTGAGTCACGGCGGAAATGGCGACGTGCGTTTGGTCCTTTGTTGCGAAAGGTGCATTTGGGAAAGCTGACACGCGAAGGGTCTTGCTATTATCTTCCTAACGCTGTTTGAGCAGGAAGGATTCTATTCACCCGTGATGCGTAAAACCTGATGCACGAGAGAGCTCGGTTGCTAGCCCCTCAGCATGACTTAATCGACTTGACGCCGTCCCCCCAACTTTTTTGGGCGTGGGGATGCGAAGAGCTGGACGCACGAGAGGTTCATGTGCTAGCCCCTCGACACGGCTTAGACGAAATGACGCCCCCCCCCCCAACTTTTTAGGGCGAGGGGATGCGAAGAGCCGGACGCTTGAGAGGCTCGTTTGCTAGCCCCTTGGTGTGGCTTAGACGAAATGATGCCGCCCCCAACTTTTTAGGGCGAGGGGATGCGAAGAGCCGGACGCACGAGAGGCTCGTGTGCTAGCCCCTCGGTGTGGCTTAGACCAAATGACGCCGTCCCCCCCCCCCACAACTTTTTAGGGCGAGGGGATGCGAAGAGCCGGACGCACGAGAGGCTCGTGTGCTAGCCCCTCGGCGTGGCTTAGACGAAATGACGCCGTCCCCCCAACTTTTTAGGGCGAGGGGATGCGAAGAGCCAAACGTGATCTGCGTTAAGGGTGGTTCTTCTTATACGCTTAATGATTTACACGAGTGCCTGCTTGTTTGTGTTAGGT